GTCTTTGATCCTGCAGCCACTGACCCCTATGAGGTGACTGACACTGTGACCTTACATATCAGCTTTCGTGAGGATGTGTGCATTCTCACTACAATGAGACGTGTCTACCACAGTGACAAGCTATGGTCTCCTGAGCTGAAGGTCATCCATGAGGTCAGGGAAGAGGCCCACAGAAGACAATGCAATCTGAGCAGCTACGCAAAGCTCCTGTGCCAAGCCATAAAACTGGAAAACAGCTAGACTGAAGCATTTTTGACAACTGGTCAAAACTGTCCTTTTCTAACATTTAAATTAGTCACTGACCTCAGAGCGTTTTACGACAGGTTTGATATGTCCATCCAAAGATAAAGATGCAGCAAACATTAAGCTGTAACACACTTTCAAACATCTGGAGTCTCCAACAGACTCAATTAGCACAGCTGCCCTCCACATCTGCTTCCTCTTTACAGTATTTTTACCCCATACAAGACTCTGTACAGCTTCTGAAGTTGACCAGTGACAGCGTGTCTTTCAACAAGGCAGCGTATAGTAAGATAACATCAAAAAACAAATGAGAGACTAGTTAGAGAAATAATAAGAAAGATGCCAGAGAGAGTTCAGACTGTGATGATGAAAATAGTCATGGCAGTTATTGACTTTCAAGCTCGTTAGAATGGTCTCTGTTTTATATGGTGTTTACACGTGTTTGCCAAAGTTTCAATAAATCGTTGCACCTATTTCCCATTTTCCTAGCTAAACATAAAAAGAGGGGTTGCTCAACACTTTTGCACAGTGCTGTAGACCAGGGGTGTCCAACTCCAGGCCTCGAGGGCCGGTGTCCTGCAGGTTTTAGATATCTGGAGATTTAGTGGACTTAATTTGAGGAAGTTAAAGTTAACTTTAAAAATCAACTATTAACAGTTACAAACATAAAAAAAATCTACAATACTGCACTAAAGAGCCTCATTTCAGGTATTGCATTCACAAAATTATTCCTTTACAAAAGAATAACATTGCTCTGAGATCTGTGACACAAGTTAAGTTATTCTGCATGAGAGAAAGGAGAAAACATCCCTGGTCCACAACCTCCCTTTGTCAATTTTATTACATTAATATAATAGATTATATTCAGGGATAGAACCAGGTGTAGTGTTGCAGTGATGAGATCACACAGCTCACTGTGGTTTCCCATTTGGTCCTTAATGTTTCTTTTTACAGGACTAGATTAGTGTTTCCACTGCATATGGCATGTAATGAATCACTAATCACGCCTTTAAAAGTTTGTTGATTTTGCCCCAAAATATGGATTTAATTGTTCCCATCCCACCCCCACATGCTGCACTTGTATTGTGCTTTATCAAATAGCTCAGTGTAAAGACCTGTTATAATCAGTGTCTCCAGCTCATCTCAGCAGGGCACTGAACATGCCAACTGACATTGTGAATACCATTATGGCAGGGTTGTCCAACTCCAGGACTCGCAGGCTGGTGTCCTGCAGGTTTTAGATGTGTCCTTGATCCATCACAGCAGATATAACGGCTAAATTGCCTCCTCAACATGTCTTGAAGTTCTCCAGAGGCCTGGTAATGAAGTAATCCTTTGATTCAGGCATGTTGACCCAGGGTGATATCTAAAACCTGCAGGACACTGCCCCTCGAGGCCTGGAGTTGGACACCCCTGTATTATGGTATTTTGTGAGAAAAGAAGCAAGAAGTGCTTGCCTCTGCTCCTCACATAGATAAGATTTGTTAATTTGTCTATTTTCAGGGGGGAAAATAGATTATTGATGGTTATAGAAAACACAGCTCCAAAAAGACCGCTCTGGGTATACATTTTTACAATTAAATGAATTGATCCATAGGAAAACCACTTTATTATCAGTGTTATTCATTGTTCAGCTCCTCAAGTTTGTCTCAAGAGTCCCTGTACCTACCTAATTGTGCAGCTAAAAAAGGGGTTTTCAGCGACTGACAGAGATGTGAACAGGGCCAACTGTCTTGTCAGCCTTGTCCTTCGTTTCTGTCAAAAACATGTACAATTCTTAGAGACATGAACTTATTTACATTAATCTGAAGGTTAAAAATGTCAGCTTAATGTCTAAATAGGCACAATGGCAACTATTGTAAGCAATCCTAATAGATTAATGGATGGAAAGCAAACCGGCCTCATACATTACATCGCCTGATGTACAGTCTAATGTCATACTCACCACATCTTTCTCCATCACTGTTGTCTGAGTGAAGCTGTGAAAGAAATTAAGGTAAAGGGACCTGTCTAAATGCTGTCTCTTTAACAAATTCCTGAACACACCAGTAGTACAGATACTATATTGCATTTAGAACAACTGGTAAAAATAACCTCAATGATTGTGTATATTGTGTTTGTAAAGGGATGTCCAACCTGTCTCCAGCTGAGTCGTGTGTCACCAGCAGACAGGTTAGAGCAGCATTCACACAGGTCACTGTCTCCCTCTGTCGTACGCTGGCTGAACAAAAGACACATGCTGCCCTTTAGATGGGAAACTACACCTTTAAAAGTACATCTCTCATCAGTGGATGTGACCTGAGATGAAACTGAAACTGACAAGTATGAAGATATGAAACTGCAATGTTTAAAATTTTAGAAGCCTAAACTGAAAGTGGGCCTGTGAAAGAAGCAGGTTTTTTTCAAGCTTTGTTTCAAAGTGGCCATAAGATGGCAGCTGATGAACATCTTTAAACAGAAACATTAATTAAGCACACTAGTCCAATATTTAATTCAACAATATTACAGTTCTTCCCTAACGTTTTCTACACAGGCAGTAATTTAACCCTTTTTGTAATTTAACCTCTGTACACCACCTCAGTGGATTTTGAATCAAACACTAAAGATGTGACTGAAGTGCAGACTTTCAATTTTACTGGGTTTAACAAAAAATTCACATTACCCGTTTAGAAATAACAATTTTAATACACAGTCCTATATTTTCAGAGGCTCAAAAATAATTGGAAACTGACCGACAGGTACAGATGGGTTCTATACTTCGGGATTTTTATTCACATATTAAATAGAAACCTTATATTTAAATCTATGTTAGTTTGTACTGTTAATGTTCAGCCTCTGATGCGGGTTTGTGTATAAAAATCCCTGGAAATATACACCTTTATAAAACTCTTTGAAGTGCAGAAAGTCTGCACTTCAGTCAAATATTGACTGACTAATGGTGCCGTACAGACACAAAAAAATACAAAAACTGCCAATTGCCCAACAAATTATAGAACGAGATGAGTTAAAGTCATTTATGGTAGAATGTAGATGGAAAGTCTGGCAGTAAACTGTCCATAAGACATGTGTAATGCAGGAGGACTGTATCAGACTTGGACATGATGTGTTTTGTGTTCTATTCACAAATGACTACAACTGTATTGACTTTTTTCTTATAGTCAAAAGAAAATACTCAGCCCTGATTTGTGATAAACCTGTAGCCTTGCAAGGAGAGAGGGTCAGGCTTCAATGTAGCTACGCAAGAGTCGACATATACAGGAGGGTGCATCAGGGCCTCCACTCTGGCTTCTAAAAGCACTGCTTCCCCCTGCTGATACACTGTGGAACTACACTGAGAGGTGCACACATCTGTGGAACAAGTTTTCTTTCCAGTGCCTGCTTCATTTAGACTCCACATACAAACAATATCGCCAAACTAGAGAATGAATAAGACTTCAGTTTAACCTGCCAAGATATGAAGGGAGAAGTGCTGCAGTCCAAAGACACTGACCGTGGATGTCATTAATTGGTACCCAGGTTAGGCTTAGTGGTTCTCGACTTACTTTTTGCTTTCTGTATTCACACAAAAATTACACACAGGTTATGCCAGTGTTAGTCATCATATAAACACACAGGCGTTGAACTCAGTTTAATCTGGACAAGTTTCTTGTTACTGTTAACCGTTTGAACCCTGCACTGTTGGTTTTCTATTCTAATCATTCAGCTTTTACTTTTACTCCACTAAAGTGACCAGCTTCGCCTATTTTGCCAGGGATACAATTTGTACCGTTAGCCAACAATTTAAAAAAAATTCAGCCATTTAAACTGTTTACAATTTAACTACTAGCTATAGTAACATACTTGATCAATTATGTAAATACTCCTAAAAAACACATTTAACAGTATACAATAACACATTACATCATTCATACTTTTAGCGAGCCATATGATTTGCCCCCTTTCCCGCCGTTTATTTATCAATTATAGTAATTTATCTTCCTTTTATCGGTTACGTTGAATTCAAACTTGCTCTTTTAATCCTTTAAAGTTTAAGTGTACCAGCTGAGCTTATTTTTACACTGGACTCAGTCTCACATTCTCGTAGCCCTGCAGAGATAACCATTTCAGCTTCAGACACCGCTTCCTTTGGTCTGCAGGAGCTTTCCTGGGACAAGTTTTCTCCAAGTTGAAAACACTGGGGACTGAACGTCTGTCCTGGGAAAACTGATGCTTCTCGGCTATTCTCACTTTGTTTTCGCCGCATCGCATTTGAAGTGCTTTAAAGAGTTTCTACATTATTTTTGGGGCAAAACGCAGATATACCAAAACTACGAAAATGTAGGCGACACCGGTGTGTTTTCCCTGGGTAGCCATTGCCAAAGAGAAAACCCAAGGCCTGAGTAATTAACGTGGTTGTACACAGGTGTACTGCGCCGTGCTCTCGCGCGCTGGACCGTGGATTCTGCTTTCAAAGACTGTGGGGGGAAATACAAACATTTTTATTCACGCTATACTTAATAAAAAACATGTGCTACATTAAGCAATTTTGTTTTGGTGACCTTTTCTTTCTTGTCAACACACTGCATCCTAATTCTATTTTATCAGCACACATATCTATGTGGAAATATTCATTTCAAGATAACGATATTTTCGCACACTCGAATATTTGTTTGTTTAGTAGTAGTAGCAGTCGTACAGTAATTTCACTTTCAAACGACTGAAACCGGTGACTTTGTGTGTTTAGAAACAAAATGAAACGAAAAGACCGAAGGGCTCTTGAGGGCATAACTGTGAGTGGAACCAATGTCAAGACGGAACTCAGTTACTCCTCTTAGTGTTCCGTAGGGATAGTTATTGTAGCTGTACTTAGTAAGCGTCGGATGTTTTGAAACTGCTGACGAGTGTTTGGATGTTATATGTGTTTGTAAAAAATAAAAAAGGAAAGAAAAGAGGAAAAACATGGATAAAAAGTCCGTACCAGCGCCGTCAGAGGAAGAGATTGACTGGGGAGGAAGTGGAGCAGGAGGGAGCAAAAATTTACAAAAGGACAAAACTTTATTGAAGAATTTGCACACTGGTCTTCCTAATCCACCTTCGGGTGCTATAAAATGTTCTCTAATAAAAGGAGACTATCTCTACTTCCACTATGGATGCGATGGACAGGATGACAGAGGCTGGGGATGTGGCTACAGGACCGTTCAAACGCTGTCTTCGTGGATTTGTCATAACTGCTCTCCGCCTGAGAACCACTGCAGGCCGGTACCAAGCCTCCCCGAAATCCAGCACGCGTTGGTAACAATGGGGGACAAAACCGACTCCTTTTCAGGCTCCAGGGAGTGGATAGGAACATTTGAATGCTCTCTAGTCCTCGACCATTTCTACGATGTTCCCTGCAAAGTGGTGCATGTCAGAGGCGGAGGGGTGGAGCTGGAGCATGTCGCAGTGGCTGAGCTCCATCAGCACTTTGAGAAGCACAACTCTCCAGTGATGATGGGAGGAGACAGAGACAACTCCTCAAAGGGGGTATTGGGGGTGTGGACCGGGGATAAGGGGAGCTATTTGCTGGTTCTCGACCCGCATTACTATGGATGTGAGCTGGACAGGACAGAGCTGCAGAGGAGAGGGTGGGTGGCATGGAAAAGAGTATCATCTCTGGATCAGTCTTCATTTTATAATCTATGTCTGCCACAGACTGCAAGACTGCTAAATGTGTTTTAGACATTCAGTATGGTTGTTTCAAAATGAGCTGCAGTGCCATCCTGTGGTTAAACTCATTAAAGCTCTTGAAGAGCAGCAGTACCAATCGAATATGTTGGTTTTTGTTTTTTTATTAGAAATGTGAGGATCAGTTAATTTCTTAAACAGTGTGTTTGGCTTCTCAAATGTCTTCATTTTGTGTTTTTGTGAAAAATATTTTTCAGTATTCTACAGGCCTACATAGACCCTTGACAGCTGCTCATTTTTATTTCACATTTTGTGCTCAAGATCATTTACTACAAATGCATGCGTCTCCTGATCATGCTGGATACACAAAGCCATCATAAACTGAGGAAAATCTTGTGATCACCTACACATGATATGTGCTGGACAATGCTTCAATATGCACTGAGAAAGAGATCTGTACGCATGTAAACATATTAAATGAGACAAGCTTCATTTAGGCTCACTCAATTCTCCGTTTTATTCCTTCCATCATATAATTTAATTTGACATGACATCTGGGTTCCATTTATTTCTCGAGCTACATTTCTGCCAAGAGATCAAAAGATCACCTTTTATATCATTTATCTGATACACAATCTTTATAGAAAATCTGGAAGTTCTTGTCCACATCCATCCTCCCCTTGAGGAATTTCTCTAGGTTTTTGAGAGGAACCTCCACCATTTGGTTGTTGACACGATCATTTAGCCCATATGCACCAAAGACAGGGAACTTATAGCGCACAAAGTACGGCGCATTTTGGTCGAACTCGGTGCAGCAATAGGCCGACCACATGTACTCGGGCACAGCTACCCGGTCCTGGTTGTTGCGACGGATCGTGTGTCCAGAAGTGGTGACCCCGGTGATCACAAAGGCTTTGCCGCGGCAGTAGTTGTTGAGGCGCTTTCGGACGATGTCTCGGTGTTCCGCCCAAGGACCCATGTTGAACTCCCTGATCTGAGGCACCACGTTCGTCAAGGTGTAGGTGGACGCCTTGTCTAGAGGGTCAGCCTGATGCTCATCGGGATTTAGTTGGCCGCGTTCATACTGAACCACATCGGCGTAGTCCTCCAGGACTGCCTGGGAGTCCTCAAAGTTCATGTGCATGTTTGCAGACTGGGGGAAGGGCTCCATGTTACTGCTGCTCTTTTCTGAGGCCAACTATGGAGAGAAAGAGAGAAAATAAAAAGCAAAGTAGTTTTACTCACAGTTTGCACACTCATTTTTTTCTGGGCATGGTGCAAAGACTCATGGGAATAGAGATGATATGATGGTATTGTTTGCTTGTGCGACTGTTTAAATAGACCAGTAGTTGTCCAATAACTCAGTGGAAATGTGAATAAGCTCATATCTTGTCACACTTATACAAATATAGGAGACAAAATTCATGGTATGTGGGCAAAGAGTTGAAGTTTCCTTTAAAAAGATAATCTGTTTATGAAGATTAACCCCAACCTGACACACCAGATGGCTGCTTCTCCCTTAGCCTGTTTCTGTCGGAGGTTTCTTCCTGCTAAAAGGGAGTTTTTTTTCTTCCCACTGGCTCCAACTGCTTGCTCTTCGTCTGATTGTTGGTCTTTACCTTACAGTATAAAGCAGCTTAAGGCAACTGTTATTTTGATTTGGCTCTATATAAATAAAACTGAATTAAAATAGGAAGACAAAAACAGTATAACAGCATCCAAAGGGTTGAGAGTCAGCTACTAAAGCTTACAATAAGCGCAGCCATGAACTGTAAACTCTGTTGTAGTTTACACAAAGCACCGTTAAAAGTTGACGAATCTAGCTGCCGGTGCTTTTCTGCAATTAAACAGCCACTTCTTACAGAAAAGAAACGAACTTTTGTCATTTTTAGAGAAAAATGCCAAATTTGCATAAATGGTAATGGCAACACTATCTCAGTGAAATAGCACACAGAGCTAATAAAGCAGCTTATCTCAGCTTTACATTGTTTCTATTACAGTAGCATAGTTGCTGCAGTTCTTTAGCTGCTTGTTAAGAAACATCAGGTGATATTGCCTTTACACTTCCAAAAATGTCAAGAAATCTCCAATGACTGCATGTGAATAGATACAGAGTACTGTGAATATATGGTATATATAGTGTGAATAGTATTATGTCAGATATATAGCACACTGTATGGGCAAACATGCAAAATTGAGAATGAAACCAGGCTTCTGTTTTATTTGTTTCATCTTCGACTGAGCTCGCAAGCACTCTCACCTGAGGCTCGAACATCCAAGGGAAATCCACCTTCTTCTCCCCGTCTGACTTCTTGAATGTATAGGCTGAGTAGATGGGGACGTGTTTGTGTGAGTCGTACAGGGTGACATAGCGGGGTTTGTCCTCATACCGCTGGCAGATCTTCTTAAAGGAGTTGCTGAGGTATCCTCGTGGTGGTGTTCCCATAAAGAGAGAGTCCTTGCAGCGCTCCGCATGGTTGAAGTCTCCCACAACTCCTGCCTGGGACACTTCAAGCAATCCACACATTAGGAAGAGCATGGCAGCTGCCGTTGCTAAGGCACAATTTGTAAATGTAGGTATCATCACTGCAGCTTTTTTTTTTCTCAGCAGCTCTCTTTTGTGTCTTTTTAGATGTGTCTTCTCTTGCTAATGTGTCTCTAATTCACCTGTGACACACCACTGCAATCTACTACTGCCTAACAAGTACAGCCTCTGTCCCAGCTCTATCACACCCCACATTTCCCTTCATGCCTCACCTGCACTTCAAGCGAGCAATTCTCTCATTGTAAAGGCTTTTCCATATATTCAAATTCCCACGAGTGTCGTAGCAGTAGTTATCAGTCACTGAGAGCATTTTATTACTGTGAAGTGCAGAGGACAAATGCCACTCACTTCAGAAAAATAGCCTTTTTTCCATCGTCGGCCTTGTTGCAGTGAATGAAGCTGAAGTTTAATGAAAGAGTAGAAATGGGAAACTCATGTTTTAAAGCCAGTTTTTGTTTAAAGTGTAGAAGGAGACTTGCATTGGAGAATTTCCACATATCAAGTTTAGATTTTTCATTTCAGCAGCAAATTAAAAAGCTCTATCCCATCATGAGCTGGTGCTGTAACTTAATATGCATATGACGTCTGATGACAGGTTTCAAATTGCCCAGAATATGTCAAAAACAAAAGTTCAGAGACAGTTTCATTCAGTGGTTTATTCCTGTGAAATATATGAGAAAGTTACATTTTGTTACATTGCAAGAGTGTTTAAAGTACAGTATGGCCCCTCCCCCACACCTTTCCAACACGTGAACAACCTACTAATGTAAATCCCCCCCTCCCCCCCTCCTTGATAGCTGGCTATGCCTCTGCCTTCAAAGTAAAGGTTATGCAGAACAACAAAAAATACACGTGATATCCAGTGTCGGCAGATTTTATGACCCGCTTGGAAGCTTTTGTTTTACCTGATGTAACGTGTCATATAAATTAGCATGCACAGTAGAAAAAGCACAGGTGTAGATAACAAAAGAAATTCTGGTTGCAAATTTCATGGATACTGTTAGCGATAGCTCACTGTCACACTGTTATAATTTAGCTGGATGTTTTGTTGGCACATGATGGCACCTCATTTTACTTATAAACACCACAAAGATCAGTGACAACTTAAAGGAAAAATTAATAACCTGTATATCTCGTTTATGGTTTGGATTCATCTGTCCTCTTTGAAGGGGCACTGCAAGTTAAAAGAAACTTTTCATAACCTTTGTTCTATGATTGCAACATTTTATTCTGATGGGTGTGGTCTCCTCTATGATGACAGTGCCCCAATCCAGAGGGCATGAGGATTACTGAATGGTTTGATGGGTATGAATTTAAAGCAGTTCATAGATTATGGCCTCTGTAATAACAGGATTAAAACCCAATTGAATAATCACAGGACATAAATCATAAAAACACCAAATAATAAAGGGAATAAAAAAGATACAGGAACGTCTGTTGAGAGATTGATGTTCCAGAGACCAATGAGAAGGTACACTGGCACTCTTCTGGTAGGACTACTTTTTTTGTCTTTCTTTAATTTGTCAAATGTTAAAATATCTCTAAATATTTTCCCTATGCAGTTTTCTCAGGTGCTTGTATGGAACAGTCGCCCACAAAGATCTGAAAGTTCTGGCTTACAAATTCTGTCTTCTTGAGAAACTCCTCCAGTTTCTGGACGGAGACTTCCACCATGTCATTGTTCTCATCCTCGTTGAGGCCATAGTAAGCAAAAGATGGGAATTTATAACGGTTCATAAAAGGTGTGTTGTGGTCATAGTCAACACAGCAATATGCTGACCACAGGTAGGTGGGAACTGCAATGCGGTTCATGTTTTCCCGGCGGATCATCTTGCCAGAGGTGGTGACCCCGGTGACAATGTGCGCCGTTCCACGACAGTAGTTGTTAAGCCTTTTGCGGATCATGTGCTCCTGTTTGTCCCAGATTAGGTTGTTGACTTCAGGCACCACGGGTACCACATTGGTGAGGGTGTAGGTAGCTGCTTTGTCGTCAGGTTCATTCTGATGCTCGTCCGGGTTGAGCGTGCCGCGCTCGTAAAGGATGGCATTTGTGTAATCGTCAAGAACAGCTTGGGCATCTTCAAAGTTCATGTGCACGTAACTCCGTGGAAAGGGCTGCATCTCGTCTGTTTCAGAGGATGTGGACAGCTGTGCAGAGAGACAGACCCACAGCAAATGAGGGCATGAGCATGATTGAATGCGATTACATGACTACGCAACAAATTCTTACGCACATTTCAAAGCAGTGAACTTTCTAGTTTTCTTTACCTGAGGTTCGTACATCCAAGGGACATCCATACATTTCTCCCCTTCTGAGCGTTTAAATATGTAGGCAGAGTAGATCGGTATATGGTCCACAGTGTTGTACAGAGTCACGTAGCGTGGCTTTTTGTTGTAGTACTGACAAATGAACTGGACGGAGTGGTGTTCCAGTCCTCTCGGTGGCGTTCCCATGTAGAGGAATTCTTTGCACTCTGGAGAAAGCTCTTTTTCCACTTTGCCTATCACTGCTAACATTATGCTGAAAAGTAGAAAAGCTGTCTGTGCCCAAGCTGCCATAGCTAGGAGGGATCCTGAAGCCACTCTGGTAACAAGTTAAAGTTGTTAAATAGTATGTTAGGTATATTTTTGAGCTCTGCTACAAATGACTGCGTGCGTCTTTATGCTCAGTAAAACAGCTCATACACATTTCCCACTCTGCTCTCTGTAATCTGGCCTCAGTATGCAAAGTAATGCCATCTTTATACCTTATCATATCCACCCACAGCTGGCGAAACAGGGACTATGGCCAATGGTGCCTCACACTGGTTAGAGTAATGTTATTTCTTTGAACACATCCTCCCAGATGGTCAAGCATTTATCAAAAACACAAAGCTATACTTGCAATTTTAAAGTGCCTTGGGTTTTTAAAGATCGTTGTGCGTCATTATGAACTTTATATTTGCTACCAATGAAGTGTATACTCTACTCTACTACTACTGATATCACTGACAAATGCAGAAAAAATACAAGTTAAGTATATCAGGGTTACATTAACATACATTTTTGTGTGTGTACACTCATGTTGTTAAAAACCCACCATCTGCCTGTTCTGCACAGCCTCATTTTTAACAGGCACGGTCACATGTATACAGTGAGTGTATCCTTACAGCCATCCTTTTTTTCAAAGTAGTAACTATTAATCGCCGCATGTGATGCCATGTGTAAGGTTTGGGGTTTTTTCTTTTTACAGAAACATGAGTTACACTCTCGCCTAAGGATGTAAATGCTGCAAGTACAGAATGCAGACTACTAAAATGACTACAATTGTTATGATATGATCATGGCTGCATTCTATGTTATCAAGACTGTTATGACTGTTGGTAGCTGTAGAATTCCCACAGAGCTGCATAAACTTGCTAACAGCTATCTTAGCCCCACAGTTATTAATTCTAACTGCCTCAAAAATAATAACTTGCAGCACAACAACAGGGTAGTAACATGAAAGAACTTTTATTTGCAAAATTAAGACATTACTAAAATAAAATACAGAATAAAATACATTATAAATAAAATACAGAATGATTGTGCCACAAAAGAGGCATATCCTGAGATATCATTAAAACCAGCTTATTTGTGTCCTCTGTAATGGACATTTGTTTTTGGTCTATAGCTTTTGACTCATTTGAGCTTGTCCTGATGTACTAAATAGAGGAAATACTGGGCTTTCCATTGATATCTCATGTGTTTGGGCGGCCCCTTTTAGCTCCAAAGAGGAAGGAAATCACAAAAAAGTTCAAAGTTCTTCTCAGGAAGATATAACAAAATCAAATACGTGATTGTGACCAAATGCATATTTTCAACTTTCCAGACATAGAAGCACTCATTTTTTCCAGCAGCAATATGTGACATGCTGTTTTCTATCTGCTGGTCATCCTGTGAAATGCAAAATAATGAAACATTTTTGGATAAACACAGAATATAAGTTAAAGATACTCGTGGTTGCTCAGTTCTTATATATGGCTATAATTTTCTTTCCATGGAGGAATTTCTGAAAATTGTATTTTACTATATAAATAAGTGCACATTTGAGCTTTATTTCTTCAGCATTACCATATACAGCACAGGTCAGTAACAGTCAAATTCTTCTCCGTCACCTAGATCAAAAATGAGGTAGAATATTTAAGCACAATGTTTTAAATTTGGTTTGAACATCTGGACTCTGAAATTGAGCACTTTAGAGTTCATAATACAAATAGAGTCGAGGAGAACAATAGGTGGGATAAAGACAAAGATGTGGACAAATTACAAGTCAGGTCATTTTGGCTTGAATGTATTCAGTTTAAGTGCAGGAAATTTTAACAGCTATGCCAATTACCCCAGGAAGGATTTAATAAAGATGATATTGGGTTCATAATTTGTTTCCATAAAGGCAGGATTAATAAATTGTAACAATTCAATGGCTCTATTCCTTTCTAACTGAATTATACTTTAATTTATTCAATAACATGTGAAGCAGGATTGCTCAACACTGTAAACTTGGCTTAGTCCTGTTTTTGCAATAGATGCATTTCAACATTTCTGCATTCCTCTGCATCCTGTTAAAAAGTCTGCAACTTTTTTTCATGTCTGAAACCCTTTTTTATTGCCAGTGTGTGAAACAGACTGCAATGTGACTTTAAAATATACTGTTTGTTAATTTCTGTGTTGCCTCTAAGAGCCTGTGAGTGAGACAAGGACATGACTATTATGGTCACAATGCCTCTCCTCAGCTCCCAAAGATAGCACTGACCAGCTTTAGCTAAGTATAGCATACAAATGGACTCAAAATAGAAAACCTTAGCAAGCAAGCAAATTAGCATTAGCCAGCGAGCTGCCAGTTTCTCCATAAAAGTAGGGTAAGCTAACACTATCTGTAGGACAAAAACAGCAGAGAAAGCAGGACAGACTTCAAGTCAATTATAAAGTTTTTCTAAAACCAAGTCATCTTTCTTAAAACACCTCTGGGTAGTTGTTTGGGCTTTTAATTTGATTCATTAATTGCTAAACATTAACTTTAACAAAATAATTGTCTGATTTTTTTAAGTGGTTAAAAACGCTGAAGAATATTTTTTAGAAAACATGTTTTCCTTTTATTCAGGTTTTCTCTGAGCTGGCTCATGTTAGCTAACACTAGCTTGGCTACTAACTGCAAGCTACCTTTTGACAAAATACTGTTTTTCATGTAGAAGATCAACTATGAAAATTCCATCATACTAAAACATTGGTAAGGTCTCTCTTCTTCTTTAAGGGATTTTCTGCCACACATCCCTTGTAGAATATGGCCATGTCACTGTCTATGTCAGTCTGGCTCCTTAAGAATGTCTCCAGAGTCTTTAGAGGTACCTCGACTACACTAAATCCAGCCTGTTCATTCAGTGCATAGCCGCCGTAGCTAGGGAACATAAACCTCACTTCATATGGTGAGTTATGATCAAACTGTGGACAGCAGTAGGCCAGCCATAAGTGTTTTGGAATGATGAGACGGTCCCTGTTATTACGCTGAATGGCAGCCCCTGAAACAGTCACCCCTGTCACTACAAAAGATTTGCCGTGGCAGAAATTGTTGAGACGTCGGCGAACGATGTCTAAGTATGGGTTCCAAGAGGTTTCCAGGAAATCTGTGATCAGTGGAACTATGTTGGTCAGGGTGTAAGTGGAGGATTTGTCATCTGGTTCTGCTTGGTGCAAGTCAGGGTTTAGTGGGCCACGTCGATATCCTACGGCATCCGTGTAGTCCTCTAAAACAAGCTGGCTGTCCTCGATCAGAGGGGGAGTCTTTTCACTCAGGGGAAGTGCCTTCATGTTACTACTCTCATCATTTGAAAGCAGCTGTAAGAAGAGGAAGTAAAAGAAACATGACATTTAGCAATTTTAAAGTCCTCAATCCACAGGCCAAGACACTTAAATAAGAGCAGTAAAGCCTGGAAGCATCTTAATCTAAGGCAGGTATTACACATCATATTTCACAGCCTGATTGTTTGTTCACATGACAGTTAAAAAATATAGGTGTCAGATTCTTAATCCTGTGTTGCCAGATTCAGGTCAGCTTAAAAAAAAGAGCCAGATCCAGGAGGTCAGCTGTACCTTACCATAACCCAACCAACCCTATTCTGGATGCCGAAACTGAACACACACACATCTCTCACACTAAAATATAATTGGAAAGCTGGTTGGCAGGGATACCAAAGTAATTATGGTTTATAATGACTCACATCAAATGAGCTAGAAAAAATAACTTGCCTCATGTGCTATGGATGAATACAGTGAATGTGCTACAGAAGAAATGTTGAAGCTAGACATTGATTTTAAAGATGTTATAACATTAATATCAATGTTTTCTTTCACTAAAGTGATGAATAAGAATATGTATCAACATTCCAAGCTAGTCTTTTAAGTTATTAAATCATCATGATTGAGCGATTATTTCAACAGTACAATGCTGTCAAAGCTTAAAACACTCAGAATATTGAGATATATGCTTATTCAGACTTAGTGAAAACAGATGAAATACGGTGATTTATGTGAAATCAATATGTAGCAAGGAGCAACAATTAGTCAAATTCAGCGCCAGAAGGTATTTCTTTTAGCCTTGAGTCCAAGGCTGAACCAGAGCCAGAATACACCAAGCCTTAGCACTTGAGGCAATTTATTTCTTCTGGCCCATTGGATATGAGTCATTATAAACCAAACCTACTTTGGTAACCTAAGAGGCTCTGTTAATCAGCTTTCTTAGAATACATATTTAGCCAACACAAACAAGCTTCGACTTTAACTCTCATCTTTCAAACTGCCAAACTGTGTCTTTAAAATAGAGGTGTGTTTGAGGGCATGTCTGGGTGACTAACAGCTTATACTGTGCTGTTGGGTCTTTGGTAACAAGCATCAGACTGATTTGAAGTAAAATTAACTCATGTAAACTAAAGTAACTCTGGGAAAAAAATATAAAAATTCTAGTACCCGGTATATGCACTGTTCTTGTATAGATTAGATTTTATAAACAAAATATTATCATGCCCCAAAACATGTAACATCTCTTCAAAAAATGGCAAGTTATAGCTACTGTGCTGCTCTGAGGCTCTACCTGAGGCTCATACATCCAGGGGGTGTCCATCCTCCTCTTCCCGTCAGACTTCTTAAAGATGTAGGCCGAGTAGAGGGGGAGATGGCGACTGCTGTCATACAGTGTGGCGTAGCGAAGTTTGTCTGCATATTTCTGGCAGATCCACTTGAGGCTTGTTCCTCTGATCCCTGCAGGCGGGGTCTGCATGTAGAAGAATTGGCTGCACTCTTTGAAGCTCTTGGACACAGTGGCGCTCACCAGGTGGGACGCCATCAGCAGGGTGATGGGGAATAAAGACGTGAAAAACAGATGCATCCTCACACAGCTGGAGTTGCCTGAAGAAAATATAACTGGGTTATTTCTTTATCGGGTCTGACATGTTTGCTATGGCTGTTGCGCACCAATAAAAGACCGAGAGACTCAGACTCCATACTCCGGTTCGGCTTAACGTGTCATCCTGTATCAGCATTTCCTTCAGCAGGCTAGTACAATGACAGCTGGACAGAGACGTTCTATGCAAAGCAGCAGTGGCTCAGGTTGGCCTGGTTGGCTGGATACCTCACTTATCTGGTTTAGTCATGCAAGTCTGCACCTTTCTACCTTTCTAAAAATTACATCACCGTGTTCACTCTATAGGCTAGGCTTCCTACACCCGTGTGTTGTTGTAACTTTATATTTTCTATATTTCATGCAGCACTTGGTCTTATCAGTATGCACTATGTAAAAATGTAAACTCCAAAGATACTGGACAACCTGGATGGATGATATGGATGTTGTACAATATAAAACGTTGGGGTGTTGTAAATGTAACTCAAAGCAGGACACAATGATTTACAAGTTACTTCCTCTTGAGTTTGCAACTAGTCATAGTAATGTCTGACTTTGCTTTATAATTTGTGTTATCGCAGTTCGTTTCTAAATTAGGATTCCTTAATATTAGAAATTTCCATTATCATGCTCCTGCACTGGTCGTCTCCTGTGGCCTAACACTTCTCTGAATCGAGGATGGGCTGGATTCATTTGAGCTCCTGAAGTCCTGTTCTTCTGTCAGTATTTAAGGACCAGCTCCACCACCAGATTGTCGTCTTCACTAGAGTGGTGATCCATCTCCTTGATGACCTTTGTGCCTGCATTCTCCAAGCACTGATGTCCTCTCTTTCTCAAATTCCTGTGACTCTCATGTGGCGGAAGAACAAACCATCTGCAAGATGCAATCACATGTCACCGTCAAGCTGGTCCATGTTTTCAGGAAATCCTTGCTTAAACACTCACCTCAGCAGCTCACTTGCCTGCTCATCCTCCAACAATTAGGAAAGCCTGCAGAGATCGGATCAGTGGCCCTACCCATAGTAAGCATCCTCACCACCTTCTGACACCTTTCATCAACAGCTCAGCATCAGATTCTGTCTGGACTGACTTTCTTTTCCTCTGTCCTAGGGTAATTCTACCAAGTAGCCGGCTCCATTCCCGTGGATCCGCAGTTCCTCTGTTTTTGCTCAATGCTCTACGACATTAAAGCCCCTTAACAGTCAAATACTCACTCTTGGGTCTTGCGTCAGAGTCTGTTGGTAATGGCTTTAAACGCCTCGACAAAAATCTCCGTAGCCAACAAACATAAAAACTCAATTTAATGTTTTGAAGTAAAAATTAATTCCTGGACTGTTAAAAACAACGGATTATATTTTACAGTGTTCTGTCTTCTGAGATTAAACACTATGTCTATATTAAATATACATATGCAGCATGTGAGGTGATGTAAAAGTGTAAATAACGCAACAAAATATCTAATTGAATCACTTCCTGTCTGTAAAAAAAAATCTGAAGAATGAAATAATGTAATGTTTGGTTAGTAAAAATATCACTTTACATTGTACCACAGTGTTCTACTCTTACTTCCAGCTAATGTAACAATAACCTTTTCAGAAATGCTGAAATGGTCCAACTGAGAATAATAAACTCAGCCGGCTTCTTCCTGCACCTTTCATTCACAGCATCTCAAACAGTGCTGCTGGCTGTGTGCCACGAGGCCCACTTTCCTGCTTCACTAGCCAAGCTGAACGCTGCAAGAACAGCACCTGGGACCAGGCTAGCTGGACATGGCTTTGATGTGATTGCTGTGAAGCATAAGTGAGCCCATGTAACTGACATGAACATCTGGCAGCCTTCACAAAATCCTTCATAGGGGGAAACTCCAGAGGTGTTAGTGCGGTTGCAGAGAACTGGGTACGCCTGAACCCAGACATGAGCAATCATTCTGCATGAATCCAGTGTGGAATTCATAGGACGATGTAAAACCATGACAAGCTGGGACATGACCTGAAGACCAGAAAGACGTTAAGAATTAACTCTATCAAGACTGGTGATATTAAAGTTTGGGCATTTCAAAAAACAATTACGTTTCTGCAGACAGTTTGAGCAGAGGTTCAATAATGTGGTGGTAGTATAACTAAATTCCTCTGCTTAATCAAAGCCTTCAGAAACTTTAAGAAAAGGTTGAGAGGCAAACAATATACCACCATCTACAGCTGCAACATCCCCTACCAGCTGACTGGTAGAGGGTCCACTGTCTCTGTCAAGGGGGCCAGTGCCCACGTTTTCCCAAACTGATGGTGTTATTAACCATCTGAGCATTGTCCAATATGTGCTTCATCTGATTAACATTGAGTTGAAAACTATTTACTTTGCAATATATGGCATATTGGAATAAAATATTAGAGAATCCACCTCAAGAAAAGCTGATATTGTTTCAGTTTGTTTTAAACAAACTGAAGGTAATCCACATTCCATATTGAAATTTGCAACTAAGTGTTTTGATGACACTGAGATAATATGAGAAAATATTTATATGCAATGAAATTAGTCATCTTCAACCTGTTTTCTTTCCGTTGTCATACAACAATTAGAAGTTTTGTGCAAAATTATCATACATACTATTGTACCTATTATTCGTTTTTAGTTTTTAATAAACTACATTTCTGAAATTTACTTTACCAGCAACTGAAGAGGGCAGGACTGCTACTTTCATCTTCATTAATCCCCATTTAAACCATCCGGTTGTGTGCACACTTGTGCTGCTGTGCATTTAACAGCACCCTCTAACGACTAACTCCCACAACTACCGCCAGAAAAGCATTGCGCATGCTCAGTAAGTGTTTGCTGCCAGCACTGCGAGGCATACAATTCACTGTTGAAACAATATTTAACTGTGCTTTTACGCTCAACGCTACTGACAGCAGCGTTTGTGAATGCAAGTTGAATGGAAGTTAATTTCATTGCTATTCTGTGACTGTTGCCTCGCGAGTTTGCATTGCTCTGGCTGTGTTGTGCATTTAATACAATTGCGTGCTAACAAATGCTTTCGCTCGCCAGCTTACTGGCTAAATAACCCTTCCGGACGTTCTGCCTGTAAAAGCATCGCGGCGTGCAGTACACTCCTGTGTCCAGGCTGGTAAATAGGGGTGTGTTTGCCCTGCTACAGCATTGGTTAGGCGCTTGTCAATGTCCAGTCACGTGGTGTCACACTGACGGCCATGTTTCCGAAACACAAACAACAAGAAGAGCAGCGACTGGGAGCCAGCAGACACATACTGATACGCAGAAGCGACCGTTGGTGGAGAGGGGAAAAAAATAATAAATAAAATACAGAGCACGACTTTCTGAAAGTACTATTCTGTCGAATGAATACGTTTACAGTGTTTAAAGAGACCAATGCATTCGATAAATTGGCTGTAGACACGCCGTGCAGACAAGCAGTCTGGTAGCTATAAACAGTGAAGGTAAGCCATGGTTCCTCTTTGCTGCCTGTCTTTTAGCTAGCTGGCTAACGGGAGCTAACATGCTAATAGCTTCTGCAGCTCGAACGGGTCGGTGTTATCTGTCATGAAAAAAAAACATTTTCACTGAGTTGTTTAAGTGCTAAAATTCTGTTTCTGCTGTTGTTTGTTTTGTTTACAACGCATTAGTACCGACAGCGGAGTGGCGCTGGTGGTCGTCCGCACATTAGCGGAGCAGGCCGGGGACTCAGATCCCAATACTCCGCCCCCTTTGCCGACATATCTGGTGTCATTTGAACCTACAAGCCAAGGCCTTTACGATCAGTGCATACCTTGTGCTAAGTTACGAAGCAAGCTAGCTAGCAACTGCTCATATGCAATAGAAATATGATATCGAGGCCAGTGATGTTGTAACTAGGGCTTTATTGCACTTTGCCCACAAATCAGTTCGGTCTAATTGGCTTGAGAGGCGAGCAGGGTACGCGCTAGCGTAGCTCGCCACAACTGTCGGTAGCTAACGTCAACTCCGACTGTTCTGTTTAAATGTTAGCCACATTTAGCACCATCGGTTTAGTTAATTTAGTCAGAGTTGCAAGTTTGCTTGCACTTGTATCACTTTGAGCCACTGGTACCGCTCCCTTTTACTCAGAGTGGAATCTTTATCCCGCCACGTTTTGGAGTGCATGAGTTTTGCTAATATTTATACGCACAAGAAATCCCATATTCCGACCTTGCATTATTTATTTAATTATTTATTTAATTACTTATTTATTATAATTTTTTAAGCAAAGTTGATACAGGGTATTAAACGAAGTAAAAAAAAAAAAGTCTGTTGGACGGCGCATAAAAGTAAAGAAAAATTTGCCATATCTGCTAGGAGCTTAAAGAGCAATAAAGTGTCATTTTATTCGGTGATTCTCTGTGAAATTATTTTCTTTCTGGATTTCCCTTAAGCCATAACTGATCTGGCCATTATAACTGGAGCCTGGTATTACAGGTGTTTTTATTGTGCTGCTTTTAAATTGACAATTGGTACACCTGCGAAGTACACCTGTTTAAAGTACAGTACTCATGTAAAAAAAAAAAAAAAAGTACTTTGCATTCTGATCAGGAGCCTGAACATGTCTGACAAACACAAACTGGAAACTGTGTGACTGGAATGGTTTGAATCCTGTTTTAAAGGGCATGTTTAAATTTTCCTGTTCACACATGAGAGTTCATTAGGTCCTACTGTCTTTTAAATTCATGTAGAAGTTTATATGCTTTTGGTTTACAAATGCATAAAATGGTCTTTTCCCCCAATAATTCAGAAGAGAAATTTAAATTAGGATTTTATATTTGCTGTATATTGGAATGTAAACTGGACCTGCTCAGTATCTTCCATTTGTCTTAAACATGTCTGTATCGCAGTGTTAATAGTTTAATGTGGACTGCTCTTAAATCTGCTTACTCGGTAATTATTAAATTCTCCTTTTTAAATTTTTCTGTTTTCTGTCTTTAAAATCTTTACCAGTTGCAGTGATTATGCACTGAGTAGTTCCATCAATTTGTATTGCCTTCTAAAATGATAATGAATGTAATAACTAATGTAAATAAGGCAATCATATCTACTGGCAATGTAGCAGATTTCTTATAGGTACAAAAGTTCAATTAAGACCTCGAATTTCCTATTTTTTTTCCTTTTCTTTTTTTTAAACCAAGAAAACAGGGATATGTGAGCAGTGGGGCTTTTTTTTAAAACTGAACTTTAGTAATACAATAGGAGGATGTACTGTGCAGTTGCTAGGAAATTGCATTCATTTGTAGGTTGAGTGGGTTAGCGGTCTTTAAACAGGTGAGCAGATTAATTAATTGGTTTTGGACATTTGCTTTAAAATAACAAAGGCCAGCATCCTAGCTGCTAGGATTTCCTTGAAAGAGGTTTAGGTGAAAAGTTTAAAAAAAGTTTCTGTCTGTATTTGAGATGCTCTGATTAAAAGGGCAGCAACTACATTGTTAGTGGGGGTGTCCAGTTGAGTCTCAAAATTATATCCAAAGAAAATTTGCAGTAATTATATTTTACAGAAACAATACTGAATGTTGAAAAATGCAGGCAGCAGTAGGGCTGGGCGATATGGCCTAAAATTCATATTGCGATATAATTTGAAGCATGTGTGGTAACGATATATATCGCGATATATTCTTTTCTTCTGTATAACGTATTTTCCACACTATAAGGCACACTTAAAATCCTTTAATTTTCTCAAAAATCGAGAGTGTGCCTTATGTATGAATTCTGGTTGTGCTTACTGACCTCGAACCGATTTTGGCGAGCAGAAATCTGTTAAAAAATGTTTTAGTACAACTTTGGTAAGCCGCACTGCTACGGCTGCCGTAGTGAGGAGCTTCGCGGAGTAACCTGGGTCCAAAACTCCGTCCGCTTCAGGTCCCAAAGTCAAACGAACACTAAGAGTTAAAAACGGTCTAAATTCTTTCATCTTTAATTAAATCATCAGCATTGCTGCTTTATCGGGTGTAACAATTAAGTTTAGCATCCATGCATCCATGAAAACAGAATTTATTAAATTTAACGGAGTTACAAGTTAACAGGAAGTTTGCTCGCTAGTTTACACCTAAACATTTCATACCATGTTCTGACAGAGATTTTTGAAACTAATTAAAACGTACAGCTCTGCTACCACTTCCAACATAAATGAAGACGGAAAACTAAACAGCAGTGGCGTTTGCAGGGTTACTGAAGTTGGGCTACCTGGTATATAATGTTGTCTACGTGATTGCTAGCGACACAGCTATGTTAGCATAACATTAGCACAGTGAAGCTGGGGGATGAACGCCAACTTTTTTTCCACTCGATAAAAGTTAACGTGAGAGATTCTGGTGGTTAGAGACAAATGCAATCGCATAGCAGGATGCTATACACAGGCCAAACTTCAGTCAGGAGAACAACTGAGATTATTCATCCACAATACGAGGTTAGTTATTAATATACTGCAACAACATGGGAACAGAACAGCTGCGAGAGAATTCAACATTAATGAATCAATGTTACGGAAGTGGAGGAAGCGCAGTTTTTGGCTTTCCCCATATTTCAAAAGTGCTTCATCTCTTTGCTATGACTGTAGCCTGCCATAATTTGCAGATGATAATGGTTTTAGCCGCTGCGATGCTTTCGACCAAAACAGGCGTAGCTTGATGACATCATCAACATCCGCTATCGCGATAGAGCGATATAGTCAAAATCTCTATCGTTGGCCAAATTTATATCGTTTCTATCGTATATCGTTTATATCGCCCACTCCTAGGCAGAAGCATTTATAAGTGTAACTAAATGAAGTGCATTTTCCATCCTTATTTTCTGGTGAGCTGTCACTGATGGCACGTGTACTAATTTGAATTGTGAGTCTAATGAAACAACATGCGGCAGCGTTTATAGTTAAATGTTAGTGACACAGTTAGCCCAGGTAGTGTTTTCCCTGGAAGTTTTAAGCAATAGTGTGAATAAGTGCGTAACACTTTAGTTCAGCAGTAAATAAAGTTAAAGAAGCTGCACAATATTGTCACATTAAAAAAAAGCAGTATTTTTTCCCTGGTATTTTCTATCTAAGGCTGAGCTTTTTAAACAGGTGCTTAAGTCTCTTTTTTCATGTAACTGCATCAGTAATTTCCTAATTTCCATCCACTTTGTTCTTCTTTTTCATAACAAGTGCAGCTAACCATGCTAGGTTGAGTCATTTGTAGCCTGGTTGTAGTTGGCGGTGTTTTTTTTTTTTTTTTTCTTCAAGTCATGAAAAGTTTGTTTCCACCTTTGGCAGGAGCAGTTTTCTTTTTTTTTTTAGCATAGTGCTTTGTTGGAGGTTGTTTAAGTAGCTCAGTCTTTAGTTAAATAGTCGTTGGAGAATGACATGTGACTCTTGCTCTCAGACATGTCTGGGCCTTGTCTTGTTGTAGTGCACACTAGGGATTGTAAATGCATGACTTACTATAGCAATGATATTGCACTGTGGCGGTTTTATAAGATGTGAAAATATTTTATACCAATATTATCGTGGAGGATGGCACAGCCCCAACTGTAAGAATAATAAAACATACAGCTTCTCTGAACCAGTGTGTGTCATTGGCTAACATTATCAACAGAAGAGCTTCTTGGCTCTGTTGCAACAAGGTTCATCTAAAAAAGAAAAAAAAAAGGAAAAACAAAAAAGGGAGAGGAAAAATTGGCTTCAAACCATCGTAGCCAACATCATTTTATCTTATATTCTTTTATTTATTTATCTATTTATTTTCACATAGATTGTCAGTTGTTGGGAATCTTTTGTTTCAGTTTAAATAAATCAAACTGTAATAAGCCTGAGTAAAGTTTTCTTCTCTTCATGCTTTCCTCATGTGCAGTATTTACTACCAACATAACTAAGCATGTAGCAAAACAGCGCATTAGAGGGCAGAGAAAGTAACATCCATGCAAATGCAAGATGACAAAGCTAATTTAAAGCGAAACCGATTGAAACAGCAATGTCTATTTTCTCTAGTTTGCTAGCACCATGTTGCCAATCTCTGTAAAGTGCGTAGGTATGCAAGTGTCGGTTATATGCAATGATGGC